AATCTAAATGCGTCAAGTCGCACTATTGGACAATTGACTTCGCTGTTTCGAGAGATGATGCGACCTGAGAACTTTTTGTTTCGTTTCTGTTTGAACGTCCATTTTCGTAATAGGCTTCGATAACTTTAACACGTTAATTGATTGTTAATCTTTCCATGTTGAAATTGCCAAGGACTTAAGTTGTTAAATCTGAAAGTAAAAGAAAATAATCATTACACGCTTAAACTTGATTCACATTTTAAATCGGTCCAAGTTATTGGAACACTCTTTATATCATGTTAATATTGCAAATGGCTACCATTTGGTTCCTGTTGCACAGAACAATACAGTTTTTATATAGCCTGCACATATACCTATCTCCATTATCCTGTGAACATTTCGTTCAATTTCGACAGCTAGTTTTTGGACAAAATGAAAAAATGTCACCTCGGTAATAATTTGAAACGCAGTATACACACACACACACACACACACACACACACACACACACATATATATATATATATATATATATATATATATATATATATATATATATATATATATATATATATATATATATATATATATATATATATATATATATATTTTGTCATTATTACAAGCCCCATTTGTCCTACTTCTTTACGATTATACTATAAAATACAAAAATTTAACTTAAAATAATTACTTAAATCTGTAGCTACTAGATGCCCTTTTTACCATACGAAAAGTTCCCATTCACCAAACTCTTTAGATTTCGTAATAATAGAATGGAACTTTCTAGAAGTCTCTAGAAACTTCTACTGGGTTCTAGAGGGCCCAAAAAACATAGAAACAGGAGTTCGTACCAACTAGCCAGTTGCCTCCTGAACCCACAGCTACGACTGTTGAGGTCAACTCTGGTCCTTTTGATTCAAGAACAAAGCTTCGGCCGAAAGAATCTAAATTCCTACAGTCCTCGAAAAGAAAAGACTATTGATAAATACTTCACATTTTTTACTTTTTAATTTTTCCTTGATATTATTGACCAAACTCTTTTATTTTATATATATGTGGATTAATTAAACTATTTTTAAGAAGAAAATAATATAATTCTTGGACTAGCGACGAATCCCCTTCCGTCGCCTTAATCTTGACTACAGTGGATTTCCTCTCCAACTTCCTTGTATAAGCCAACTACTTTCTGTGCTCTTGCACACTTAGTAACTTGTTAGTATTTCCTAACTTATATTGTTTTAAACCTCATCCCTATTGTTCTAAAATATATTGTATTACACTGCTCCCTCGTTTATCGCGGTAGATTGGTTCCAAGACCGGCCGCGATAACTGAATTTCTGCAAAGTAGAGACGCCATATTTACAGTATTTATTTAACGTGTATTTGGACTTTTAAAACCCACTCTGTACTGTTAACAGCCCACCCATTACAGTACTCTATTAATAACAAGGACAACTGTTAAGCAATAATACTTTAAATTAAAAGATAAAGATTGTTACAGTATTCAACACGAAAGAAGTTGAATTAAAATTTGAATGATGATGGTGATGAATTTGCTGCACAGTAGAAATGATGATGATGAAGCTAATGATGACTTCTACTGTGCAGCCGATAATTGTATCTTACATCTCTTCAGACGGCGGTGCCCTTTCTATTGATATTTTACGCTTGTTTTGTTGTTCCTAGACCAGGAAATAATATTTATTATTCATATTTTAATGGGTTTAATGAAAAATTTTAGGTGTTCATATATCGCGATTTTTCTAGAATTTTCCAGAAACTCCGCGATATTCCATATATATTTTTTTTAAATCCGCGAAGTTGAGAAACCGCGATAGTAGAACCGCGAATTAGCGAGGGATCACTGTATATGTAAAATAAAATCCGCATTTCGTTACTAGATGTAATCCCTTTTCTTCAACCTTAATTTACAAATCTGCTTCTTATTTTGTGTTGCGCCAGCCGTAACACTCATATATATATATATATATTTAATATATTTTCTCTTTATAGGTTAAATGTTGTTCTAAATGCATTATATTGTGTGGAATATTCATGTTTAATAAGGTGACTGTAGATTTAAAAATAAAGATACCAAAATCAAGCAAGTGCAAAAATTTAAATATCTAGGAAGTGTTTTAACAGAGGATGGTGTTGAGAACAGTTTTATTCTTATTCCTTTTTAAACGTCGGGGTTACCATTTGTTGATGACTGTTAGTTTTTATGTCCTCTCAATTTATAGTTAACGCAAAATACCACAAAACATGAAACAACAATAATAAAAAATAAAACGGTTTTATAACAACAACGAGATTTATATTTATATAATGATGTACATGCAAAGAGGTTACTATTTTTGTTGGTGTTATGTCCCTTTGACTGAATTAAAGATTTTACTAATGAAATTGAAATATTTTTATCCGAGCTGACAAAAGTTGAACTTATCACTCAAAATGTTCACTGTTAGAAAGTTGAAAGAATTATAAAGCTGAGAATATGCTGAATAAACTTTTAGCTTTAGAAGTGTTGAATGTTCCGAAATGCTTGTAATTAAATTTCCATTGCTTGTAGTTGAATATTCGTAGTTTGAAATGAAGTTTGAAAAGTTTCGTATGTTTGTAATGTAGTTTGGAAAATTTTCCTACGTACGTGTATGCGTGCGTGTGTGAATATGTTTTCATAGCGTCCGCCAGAACTGGGATCGGAACGCAGTTTCCTTTAAGGCTACATTTTCGTCGGCGAATGAAATCAAGAAAGAGATAGAGAGAGAGAGAGAACGAACTCCTGTCTGGTATTTATAATTAATTTAATCACATGGTAGGCTTGAAAAGGCATTGACAGATTTTGGCGGAATTATCTTTTTGTCAGATCAAGAACTAGGTCGATGTTATTCGGACATGATTTAAGTATTAAGTGACCAATCAGAAGTTGAGATTTTTCTGAAAATATGTATGAAGCTGAGTAAGCTCTATGATCCGCTTTTTGCACAAAAATTGAGATTGGTAAAAAGTGTTAGCGGGATGCGGAAATGGAAAATGCCACGCCGAGATCCGAAGATTCATTGGAATACCAAAAATTAAGCAAAGTATTAAGAAACAGCAAAGTCCTTTTCTTTGTTTCTAACGTACTTTTTCTGTTTATGTAACCAACTGATGTTATGCAATACCATTCCTGCTATATGGCAGTGAATGCTGGACAATCTCCACTCAGATGAAGAAGAGATTTGAAGCAACAGAAATGTGGTTCTACAGGAGGATGCTGAGAATACCAGGAGCAACGACGAAGTTTTAAAGATAATGGAAACAAAAAGGACACTTATCCTTCAAATCAGAAAGTGTTGAAATTTCTAGTGCATTTAATATAGAAAGAGGGTTTGGAAAATTTGGCACTCACAGGACATATCAAAAAGAGACAGTAGAAAGCTGTGAATAATCTACCTAACGATCTTTTGCAAACCATCGGCAGAACAGGGATTAGGAGATATAACAAAAGTATAAAGTTTATGACGTGCTACAAAGGACAGGAAGTTGTGGAGAGCCATGATCTCCCATGTCCTGAGGGGACACGGCCAATAAATAAGAAGACTTGTAATGAAGACCATTAACGACAAACTGAAGACAAACAATGTTGATTGGAAGGGCGAGCTATAAGATCTTGAACGACGGTGAAAATAAAGACCAAAAGCGACTCATGTAACAAGAATTTCAAGTACAGTGATGAGAAACTAGACGAACGGAAGACCGATAATTAAGAATTAAGGCACAGTGGTGTCAGTAGTAATACTGTTCCGTATAAGGTAACGGTAGTATTATTCCATATAAGGTAATAGTCATATGAGGTAATGGTAATATTATTCCTTATAAGGTAATGGTAATATTATTACTTATAAGGTAATGGTAATATTATTCTATATAAGGTAATAGTCATATTATTCATTAACGGAAATACTATTTCATAAAAGGCAACTGTCAAATTATTCCATATGAGGTAATGGTAATATTATTCCTTATAAGGCAATGGTAATATCATTCCTTATAAGGTAATAGTAATATTATTCCTCATATGATAACGGTAATATTATACCTTAGAAAAGTAATGATAATATAATTCCTTATAAAACAATGGTCATGTTATTCCTTATAAGCTAATGGTAATATTATTTCATATAAGGTAATAGTCATATTATAACTTACAAGGTAACGATAATATCATTCCTCATAAAGGTAATAGTTATATCATTCTATATAAGCTAATGTTAATATTATTCCTTATGAGATAACAATAATATTATACCTTATAAGGTAATGACAATATTATTCCGCATAAAATAATGGTCATATTATACAATATAAGGTAATAGTAATATTATTCCTTACCCAGTAATCGTCATATTGTACCTTGTAAGATAATAGCAATATTATTCCTTATACGGCAATGGTCATATTACACCTTATATGGTAACGGTAATATTATTCCTTATAAGGTAATGGCAATATTATTTCATATAATGTAATGGTCATATTATTACTGATAAGGTAACGATGATGTTATTCCTTATATGATAATGGTATTATAATGATAATATTGTTCTTTAAATAAAGGAAATATTCAGCATGCATTGATTGATTAGCGAGTGCCACTCGAGGAACACTTTTCTATACCTATATATTTCTTTTCCCTGGCCACCGGTCCAAGATCAAAGTGTAGTATCTTCCAAACCACATTTTATCTCTCAATTCTGTTTCTCTTTACGAACAGAGGCGCAACTCAGTTGTGTCTCTGTCTTCGGGCAGAGCGTAACTGAAAATATTATTGAGAGGTGCCCGGTGCGCAGTATCTCCCTCACTGCACTAAAGTTACACTCGGTAATAATGCAGATGCCAGTGCAAATCACTGGGCCATTTTTAGACCTTGACTAGGTGCACGCACTCGGGCTTTCCACATTAAACTGACCTTGTGTCGCACCTTTCCTGGGTGGGAAAACTACATTTTATCTCTCAATTGTGTTTCTGTCTTTGAACAGAACGCAAACACCGATTCCCGTAGGATCACCGAAGTTAAGCAACGTCGAACCTATTCAGTACATAGATAAGTGACCTCTCGGGAAGTTTGGATATGCAGGTGGTGAGGTGGATAATGGCACGGAATTGTTAATGGGAAAGCCTAGTGCAGCCGAAGATAAAATAATGATATAATCAAGACGTTGATGTTCCACACTACCTCGAAGAAGGACAAGAAAGAAAGCCCTCATTAATACTCGAAAGAGCGATAACAGTTAGTGAACTTGAAAAACTTCGAACCTAGTGGACTTGCGCAACAGAATCACAAAGAACTGTAACAAATAACAGAGACCACATCATTTGAAGAATTCAAGCGGCAGGAACAACTAAAATGGATAGCATATATAACTCAAAGAGAAAATGACATAATGAAAATGTCGTTCCATACTACTTCGAAGAAAAGTTTTGGAAGGAAACCTTCATTAATACTGAAAAGAGTAATAACGGTGAACTTTAGAAAACTATTTTCCTCAGATGAGACCTGCTAAGAATTGAACCCATAACCTATCGATTCAGATGAGAACGTTAACTACTGAACCAAAGTTCATGAACCCTAAATGTACTGCATAATTTTTATTCTGATAGATCCATCGCTAAAGATGCTGGAAAAATGGTCGGTTCTCTGTACCGCTCCAGTAAGTACCTGACTCCTCCTGATAGCCTCTACTTTTACAAGAGCCAGATCAGGGCAAAAATAGAAATACTGCTGTCATATATGGGCAGGAGCTGCCCAATCTTCCGTTTCCACCCTCGATAGAGTTTAAAAGCGTCTCCGCGTCCTTGTAGGTGACTAATTATTTTCAAGGCTGCAGCCACTTTCTCACGGATGAGACGTCGCAAACCTCGCACTGCTCTATCGCTATTTCCATGCTGAACTACAGATTTTTAGATCCACCAGTCCTAACCTTCACGGCTAAGACCCTCCGTGCCACGCATATTGTAGTGAATCAACCTCATTCTCTTCATATTCCCTTGGTGAGATGTAAGTTCCACCCAAGCAGATTCTTCCTGCGAACTGCTGCCTTGTGGAACCGACTCCCAATAGGCTGCTTCCCCAATCATCACAATCTCAGCCTGTTCAAATCTAAGTTAAACCGTTATCTTTTCCACATATCCGCATAAGCTGTGCCTCTTACTCCGTAATGCTCTACCTCGAGTGGCCCCGAGCCTTGTAGAGAGTGAACACAACTATAAAAAGAGCTGTGTAGACCTGAGATGACCCTAGATATTCACCGAGCTATTCACCCGACACCACTATAAAAAGTGCTGTGTTGACCTGAGATGACACTAGATATTTACCTAGCTATTCACCCGACACCACTATAAAAAGTGCTGTGTTGACCTGTGATGAGCCTAGATATTCACCGAGCTATTCACCTGACACCACTATAAAAAAGGGCTGTGTTGACCTGTGATGAGCCTAGATATTCACCGAGCTATTCACCTGACACCACTATAAAAAGGGCTATGTTGACCTGAGATCACCCTAGGTATTCACCGAGCTATTCATCCGACACCACTATAAAAAGTGCTGTGTTGACCTGAGATCACCCTAGGTATTCACCGAGCTATTCATCCGACACCACTATAAAAAGTGCTGTGTTGACCTGAGATGACCCTAGATATTCACCTAGCTATTCACCCGACACCACTATAAAAAGTGCTGTGTTGACCTGAGATCACCCTAGATATTCACCTAGCTATTCACCCGACACCACTATAAAAAGTGCTGTGTTGACCTGAGATGACCCAAGATATTCACCTAGCTATTCACCCGACACCACTATAAAAAGTGCTATGTTTGCCTAAGATGACCCCAGCGATTCATCCGTTGTCACCGATAACCCCAAAATGCGAATCCCTGTGTGAACGGCTGTGTCAGATATATACAAACGTCAGAAAAACCGTTGGATAGATGGCTATGTAAAGAACTTCTCCAGAGTGGACCGAGGTAGTGTCACTGCAGACATCGCTTGATGAGAATCTAAAATCCACATATCGAACAGGGGCTACATAGTGCCTCACAACGAACTGGAGTAAAATTACAAGTCTCGTATCATTCATAAGTCTCGTGTTATTCAAAAGTCTCATGTTATTGTCGTACATTCAATTAATCGGCACCCTGACCTCACTACAAATGGATTGAAGATTTTATGACGGCCATAGTGATCAGTAGTCTATTTTTTACCGGGATATATTTTCTTCTCTCGCACATCTCACCTGTAGAAATGCTTATATCTCCTGTTAACTACGATCTTCAAAACTTTATATTCAGAGTCAATTGTCGCCTTCTGTTTCCTTGAATGCTGTTCTGTTTATTAATTTCCCATCACCCCTTACTACCACTTTTTTTTCCGTTTCCCTCACTCTCAGTAACATCTTACTGGGGTTTTTTTGTGGGGAGGGTAATCGAGTTCACTCAAAGAAAAGCAATAAAGCCACTAAGACTCAAGGGTTTACTGGGTGTGGAAGAATTAGAAACGGAAACATTACTAATCAGCGGGAATATAAAAAAAAAGAAGAGTAATCAAGACAGCAGATAGCGATTGACATTGCATTTACATTTTTGAAGATTAAAGTTGGCTGTAAAGCAAGCAGCTGGAAGAGGGTTCCACAAGCGATAAAAAAACTGTTAGCATAGAATTTACGGTTCCATCTAGCCGGCTCAACTGTAAATTGATGAGATCTCGACGCCAGTCTAGTACCGCGCTTAAATTTAAAAAAAAAAGACTAGGTACCATAACGAAGAGCTCATCCAAACAATTGCCATGAAAGAATTTATCGGAAAAGATACAGGAAAACAACTTTACGGCAGTGGAAATGTGTCTGAAGCCTAGAGACCAGATCAGGACTAATAATATTGCTGATTCTTCTTTGGATTTTATCAAGGAGCTCACGGTAAATAGCAGTAGTACCGGGCCATATGTGACAGTAATATAAGCTCGAATGGTAGACTTATAGACATTTATGATAGATTCCGGAGAGAAACTTAGTCCATAGTATCTTTATCATCTTGCGTGAGGTGAATTAAATTTTAAAATAACCTCGTCATAAAAAAACTCTTCCTACGCACATTGATTTGCCCCACAGTTGAATTAAACTGGGTTTTGTCGAACAATCACGGGGTCAAGATAAACACTCAATTGCGGAGCAAGCTGAGTGAATACTAATTCAACATTGAGAAAGAGAGCTATTTATGGTGCAATGGAGCATCTCATTATGCTAAAGTGGGATAGTCCATTGCTTGGGCTGTGATTGGCTGCTGGTACCTGAGTGGAAGTATTTCTATATAAATACTAGCATGATTTCTCAGTTAGTTTGCAGGGTTTGTATTAAGTTACAACCTGCTTTATTTTTGTCTGCCAGCTGGACGCTAGCTGGGACTCTTACGCCGGTAAGTGCTGTTTATTATTGTTATTCTACAGGTTTATTAATTCTCTGTGATAGATTTGGTTAAAAGTAAAGAATACTTGTTTAGATGTTGTTGCTTTAAATATGTGAACCACGGTATAGGGTTTAGTTATACTAAATTCAGTATAGGAGATAAGGAAATTGAACACAGAATAGGCTGAGCTAGATGTGTGATACTATTTATCGTTGCCGCAGTAAAACGGAAGAAAGTTTTGTTAAAACATAATGAAGTGTTATGTGCTGAGAGACAATGAAACAAGAAAAGTTAATACCAAAAACTCATGATAAGAATTGAGGATTTAATTCACACATAGACGACACCTGAAATTGTGCATCGAAGATTTGAACAATTGAAAATGACCCAAACTCAGAGGGCGATGCTGATTGACATGTGTTCTAGACAGCAGAAAATGCAAGCTGTTAAGCGGAAAGTCCATTTTCGTAAACAATGCATTTGGAATTGATTTCTTCTGGTCGGAAGTTGAGTTAAAATACCAGGAGGCGGTGGATGAGCCACCGACGCTCACTGAGATTTAGTGAGAGGTAATAATAAGAGAGATTGGAAGAAGGGAATTCCCCAGAATTATGACGTAAGCTGACAACAAAGGGGATTTAACGAAATTCCCTTTATGTGCCGTGACCCGCGCCAGTTTGAGCGAATGTTCATAAATACGCATGCGCAAAACAAATTCGACAGACGAGTCGCAGAAGAGAGAAGAGAGGCAGAGAAGACGGAGACGAGACCAGAGACGGTAGAGAGGCCCACGTGATTATCTGCCGACGAAAGCATCCTACTTCAGCCTTGTGCCAAACTTTACCAACAACAGCAAACCAGATTTTGCCAAGTCAACAACGATAATATCACTTCCGATTTAGATTTAGGGTTGGACTGATAATTAATTGCATGCGAACTCTGATACAAGCCAATTATTGTACGGAGAACTGATATAAAAACAGTATTTATTTTTTGTTCAATTTACTCGAATGTTATTATTTTCCTGTGCGTCATCGCCCTGCTTGGACCAGCCCAGCACGAAGATACCTGCCACGATTCGATCTTCGCCTCCTTATGATCAAACTTAAATCAGAACGTGGGATAAGGTTAGCTCTGGATTAAAGTGGTCACTTCAGCGACCAGCTGCGGTGTTGGAAGTCTTGGACGACCGGAGAGGGTGCTGCGCGATTACAGATGTAGTTTCCCTCGACACCGCAAATTACTACAAAACCAAAACATTAACATGAAAATTTGAGTTATGTTCTTTCTAGATTCCCTATGTCTTTTCTATAAATACCGATAATTGTTCTGAACTTTCCTCTTTGGTACCTAGTCTTAATAAATTTAAACACGGTACCAGATTAGCAACAAGTTACATTGAAATGGCTAGATGTAACCGTAAATTCTATACTAACAGATTCTTCTGTCGCACTTCTCGTTTGTGGAACTCTTTTCCAGCTTCTTGTTTCCTAGTTAAGTTTGATCTTAAAAAATTTAAATACAATGTCAATCATTATCTAATGACTTCTTAATTCTTATTTCTTTTATGTTCTCTCTCTTTAATAGTGTTTTTTTTTTCTCTCTCATATTCTCTAACACTCAGTAATCCCTTGCATCTTAGGGGCTTTGTGACCTTGCTTGAGGGTG